TTTTTGGGGGGGGGGGGGGGGGGGGTTAAAGTTATCCTGCCACATTATGTGCTGTTTCATTAGGATATTATCAATCAAGAATTAGGATATTGGTATGCTGATAGTCTCTCCTAGCTTCCAGTGTAGTTGTGCCAATTAAAATAAACTGGATTATAGAATCATATTATTAAACTTATTGTATTCTACAGAAAGGACTAAGTCGTTAGCCATAAGGTAGATGAAATCCCTGCATTTCTCCAACTGCAGCTTTGTATATAATTTTGCTTCAAGTCTCCACTTAATTATAAGCTTCTTGGCATAGATGAGTAATCAAATTGGTAAATACATTGGAAACTGGAATCAATAATTTAGAGGAACAGAAAGATACTCAAAAGCACTAATTGTGCATGACAAGAAACTATATTGCTAAAAGATAATGTAATGTAAACTGCATATTCGAAGAATGAAAAGTTTCTATTTTACCACACACCCAATACCTAAGAAAATAACAGTAAAAATAAAAGAAAAGTAAATAGAAGATAAGTTGTAGATTTATACGTGGATCCTATACTGGCAACATTAATAAACAAAAGGGAATGCTTAATTAAAATATAAGTTTTCAAAGAATTTATGCTTCCCATCAAGTTAGAAGTACAGATAGCCTCCACAATATAAATAAATACCACAGGCATGCAAACTTTACCACTTTCTGTCAATAGTATACAAGAGTCTTACTTAGCTAAGAACATGAACTTTGGGACATGAAATGGGCAATGCGACATAAGGTTCAGTTGGCATAAATCAATTATTACAATTCTAATTTGATTTAAAAGTGATAATTTAAGGTTTACAATGATAAGATTTAGGCATCTGAAATCTTGGTGGCTGCACTTGGGAAAACTAATCTCTGTAGCCAGCCATCATTGAAGCAGAAAACTAGGCAGGCCCAAGTAATAAAACTTCTTAACATAAATGAAGGAAAGCATAGCCCACATCTGAACCATTAATAAATCACTGATCAAATGACTTAGAATTGGTGATGCAGGGTCCTGTACATTGAGAAATTCTTAATCTTCGAATGAAAACCAAATGATACTAGAAGTTAATGCCTAAAAAGCAATTTCAGAAACTCAAGGACATGTAGAATGTAGTGATCCAATTAATGAGAAATAAGATAGATAAGGAGAAATTCTTAATCTTCGAATGAAAACCAAATGATACTAGAAGTTAATGCCTAAAAAGCAATTTCAGAAACTCAAGGACATGTAGAATGTAGTGATCCAATTAATGAGAAATAAGATAGATAAGGAGAGAGAAAGAATCGTACACTGTAATATTAAAAAAAGCATGAAACTTTACATCTCATAATTATGTACAATCTGTCTAAACTAAAGGTAAAGATCACGGATAAACTAAAGATATAATCATAGATGAATAAACACCAGAAAAAAAAATGAAAAACCATTACAAGAAAGACAAATCCAGTACTGCACAAAATGATTTTTGAGGGATCAAAATCGTGTGATTCAAAAACTCTTACATTTGTTTGAAGTACATATGGGGAATATGTGAAAGGTCTTTAGGTATTAAGGCTAGATCATTGCTGTACAATTGAATTGATAAGCAGATGAAACTATTCTCAGTAATAAACATGTGAAAGTTAAACCATCATTAAAAAACTCAAAAGTTCAGCCAACCTATCAGTGTCAGGCGTCGTCATTCGTGTAGTATCACTGCCACGTTGCCCCTCAATATACGGGTTATAGTCTGAAAAACCATGACCTCCCTGAAAACAGCAGAAAATATGTTAACGAATTTTTTCTTTAAAAAGGAGAGAGAATAATGAATTTAAAGAAGCAATTTAGCTTGAGGCAATCAAAGTAGACAGTACCATAGAACTTCTTGGGAGTTGATCATTCATGAAAGTTGTAGTAGGAATTCGTTTGTCGAAAACATTTCTACCATCATTTCCAATCATGGAATTTAACTCTCGCAATCTGGCCTGTGTTGTGATTTTTCTTTATTAGTTCCATTAACAGACTGCTCACAAGTATAATACCAGAGAATGAGGGGTAACTAAAAAATGACACATTTTGAGAATTATGTTCCTTTACATTATCTGGTTTAGATAAATATAATTTCCCTAAGTCACAAAGTTATACTCGAAGGTCCACAGTATAAGCTAGTATTGAGTTCAACCACCACCTATGATGCTCGGACTCTTCAAAATGGCCGGAAGCACCTGTGTCAACCCAACACAACACGATATGGGGTACTCCATCCCAATATGGCAATTTATACAAAGGTATATATCATCCAGCTGTTACACAATTTTCATGATTTTAGCCAAATGAAATATTGTTTTCATTGTTACTAATTGTTTTTAGATTAATCACGTTGACAAAAAAGCCATATTAACAGCATTGATAGGTTAATAAGGTAGACAAAAAAGTCAAATTAACGAAATTTGGTCTCTTTTTAACCATGTCTCTGTTGCTACATTTTAGAAAATAAAATATCCGATACTTAGATACATGCATGTATCCAATACCCGTACCCAAGTCAGCAGAAAGCTCTCTTAGGAAACAAGGAAAATTGGAAGTAGTATCTAATAAACGATTTAACAAGTGTTTATAGAAGTATGGAATAATCATAACTAATTTTGAGTAAAGAGATTCCTCATTGTCGTTAAAAACGCAGACATAAGTCCATTTGCGATATTCCAAATATATCCAATCAACGTATCACATGAAATGTTTAAAGCAAGACAAACAAAAAATAGCTAACTGGCACTAAACAGCTTCGTCATACGCCGGGTCTTTGAAACTTGCCCATGAGGCCTAAATCCAATGGTGAAAGCTGAGTCATCAAAACTACAAATTCTTGGATTCAAGTCCAACCAACAACATAAGCAGTCAGTTCTTTCCTCCGATTATTGGGATTTGATTATCGGTATAGTTTTTCTAATTCTTGTGTAACATGACAGTGGCAAGTTATACGCCAATTGCTTCACTAAAAGCAGATATATGATACTTAAACCCATTACTTGCCCAAGCAGCTCGCAGTTGGCAACATGCAATAATAAATCCACTTAAAGAAGACCACGATACAGGAAGTCTGGGGGTACCAATCACATTTAGAGAGAAGCAATTAAAGATGTAACAAACCACTCAATTTTTGCAATATTAAATACACACACACACACACACACATAAATATATGTAAAGCCCATTACAGATTGTCAAAAATAATTAATCTGAAGCCAATGCCTCCCAATGCATGTGTATTTGTACCTGAGATGCTACAGCATACTATCTGAACACTGCATATATACAAACGGAACTGCAAATTTACCCAATGGGTGTTTAATTTCCATACAAACTCTTCATCTATTCAAGTCAACAGTGTGCAGTCGCAAAGAGGTTCATTTTCTGAATACAGTCATATATTGATACATACAAATGGAACTGCAAAGCTGTTCAATGGGTGTTTAATAGCATACAAACTATTCATTCATTCAAGTCAACGTTGTGACGTAAACTACTTGGGGAGTTCATTTTGCCTAAGGTTAGAACTAAACATCCTTCATGCCATTAAATACAATAAAATTCATAAAAACAAGAAGCTCTCAAAAGCAACAAATGATGATCTTACATGTGAAGTTCTTATCTTCAACTGCAATTGGTCATGTAAGTGCTGCAAAAATTAAAAGAACTCAAAGCATGGAAAAAAAAAATGCTGAACTGAGTGTGCAAACCTTGAAAAAAAATGTCTATAATTAGTGACTATCATAAAACTATGAAGAAAATTTCATGAATTTGGATGGATCACTGTCATCTTATGAAGCTAAACCAAAGCTAACATATATTGAAAATTTGTAATCATACCATAGCAGCACTTGCTTTGTGCCCCATCAAAATCCATGAAAACATAGTGAGATTTGTTTTATTGCCCATGAGGCCATCTCCTGAGTAAAAACTTTCTGAAATATTTTTGTTTGAAGAAAATGCTGGTTTGCAGGCCCAAGATAGAGAAATTCTTAAGCACCCACTTGGGGTCGACCATGTTTATTGGCACAAAAAGAAAGAGAAACGTGGCGTGCAGGTTTATCACATGCAATAGATGTGAGGCTGTTGATGTAATGAAGCAAAAGGATTATAGCGTCACAAGTATTTTACTCTATGCTGTAAAATCCACACCTTTATACTGTTGGTGAGGGCAGAGGCATTTGTAACATGAGGCAAAAAACCATACTCGCCCAATATCCCAAGCATAGATGACATAAAAATATGTTTCTCATCCTCTGCGACCTGAATCACATTAAATATTGAGGATACAAATCCAAAGAGAAAGTAAAAGAACAAGAGAACGACAAGTGAAGGACAGAGTATTGAATGACAGACAGTGCACTCTATGACATGAACAATATTTCAAGAAGTTAGATTGAGAGAAAAATTCTACACAGTTCCATAAATTGGCAGAGAAAAGATCACTTAAACTAAAATTTAGGCAAGGATTGGATGATGATTACATAACTAAAGAAAAAATCTTATTTTTACAGTATTGAACACAGCATATTCATATGACTCGCAAGATCTCTAGCGAATGAGGTATTTCAGATACAATAACGGGGATTCAGTCAGATTCAAAGATGCAATAATATTTCAAACAAAGTAGATCATTTCGAATTTGCTAAACATGAGACAGCAGGCATGTAACTACTGTCGACACCTTCATCTTAGAACTTCAAATAACATGCACAACCACTTTTCAGTTCATTCTAGCTGAAAGCAAAGACTTCCATTCTACGTAAATATAAATTTCAGCAATAATTGGAGAAAAAAGAGGTCCTCAAAAGAAACCAACATAAAATTTTGCCTGTACTAGAAAAGTCAATTTTGTTAAGCAGTTCGAATGAAAAGTATGTCTAGTTTACTAAAGACTAATTCTATGCAGCACTGAACAAAGAGGGGAGTGGGCCTCACATCCTACAAGTACATGCCACATATACAAGTGCTAAGCACCAATGGTGCTACATAGCAGTACTCTTTACAAAAGGGAAAAAGACAACATATAGTACCAAAAAATTCAGATAAGCCAGAATAGGAGACCTAATCAAGCATTTACCTTTAATTCGTTGAGCAAGTTTAAATTTACTTCAAGATCACCTTTCCTGCGGGCCAACTCATTTGACGCAGAAGTTATAGCTTCATTTTGCTTCTCATCCAGAGCCTATCACATAAAAAATGAAAATATAGTGTACTTTATTTCATGTAGCAAGGAAAAGAGAAAAATGTCAGTGATTAGTAACATGGGAATAAGGACCAAGGCCAGTAACAAATATATACAAACCATTCGTAACTCAGAAAATTTCCTCTCTAGGGCATATTTCTCATTCAACGACTGTGATTCCTGACATCATAAATGACAAACGTAATCTTCCTGGAGGATATATAAAATCACGATAAATTTTAATCTAAAATCATATATCTTACCTTAATACTTGCAAGAGCAATTTGTTCCCGAAGATACTGAATTTCCTTCTCTTGTGATTTAGCCTTCGAATAAAGTTCCTGCACGTGAACTAAATCAGGGAACATGAAGAAACGATATTTTCTCTGTAACAAAACATAACATTTATGACATAAACCAAAGAAGTACCAAATATATGTCGTAACAAAAGCTAAATACTAGTACCATGGTTTCTTGATCTTGAATGTGGTCTTTTCCCTTCACACTCTTTGATACTGAACTTGATTCAGTGTTTTGCCTGTGAATAAATGGAAATTGGCTATATATTTAAGGAATGAACGTTCATGTAAACCACTTTCATAAAAGAAGGTTTGTGATTTACCTGCTAGCAAATTCTGAGCTTTGCTGCTGAATCTCATTCTCTTTGTGGCCATTCATAGTGATATTACCAGAAGACATTAGTTTTTCAATTCAAAGTCTTTTAGAAAACACAAATTCAGTGCATCCCAACAGTTAATTGCATCTCATCATCCTTACATATCTTCCCCCATTCTGATAATCTGCAAGGATCTATTGAATCAAGAACCAGTTCAAAATCATTTAAGATGAAGAAGAATATAATACGTAAAACCAACAGCTAACATCTGTAACCTAGATGTAAACGAGATAATGATAGTAGTGTCAATTGGGCCTCGAAATATACACCGACCCCGCACCACCATGGGTGGAACAGTTTATATACTAAATTTATAACTTTCAGTAAGGAAGCCAATGAAGTTTCACTATCAAATTATCAAAAGCTAAGAAATTAGCGAATTTGACTTTCCACGACTTGTATCTTTCCTCAACATTCAACAAAAAATATCAGCTTCTTACTAAAGGCTTTCATATATGAGGTGAGGCAACCTTGGCTCAAATTATCTAGGTGTATTGTGGCAAAGGACTGCACATTTGACATTATGCAATTGCATAACAATATACGTTCACATCCAGATAGAAACTAAATTCTTCTTGTTGAATAAACAGCATATCCTAGAATCAGATTTGACTTATTTATAGACTGTGCATTATTAGTTCACTAGATCATTATTCTTTTCTAGTCTTTTTTTTTTTTTTGGTAGGGGGTGGGGGGCTGACAGAATTCAATTTATCCTACAATTTATTCTAAATACCCAATGTTGGGGGCAGTAAACCAGAAGTAGCATGAGACTGAGACACCCCAAGTCTGGTTAAAGCATAATTGCCAGCTATACTCACAATTTTATGGCAAAGAGACATAAAAAATAAAAAAATAAAAAAAATCATGAAAAGGCACCAAAGTTAGGAAGTCCAGTGATTCCGGGCATGAAGTTAACTAAAACAGACAGCATATAAATGAGTACATTAATCTGCTAGTTTCAATAAGCAAAATAAGTTGTTCAAAGTAGCTAGACTAACAAGAAAATAGATTCAAATAGAAAGAGAACAAGGATTAAACATATAAATAATAATAACAATAACATAAACGAAACAAAATCAAGATTCACTGAAGATCTATGTAATACCACCACTAGCAACATGAATTTAACAAATGAATCAAGAAAGAAACAAAGGAAAATGAAAACGAATTGAATAAAATACAGATTATAAAATTGGTCACAAACCTATAAAATTCGATCACCATAAATCCCACAACAATAAATTCGCAGAAACATGCAAAATTCACTGAATTCCATAAACTCAAGAAAAGAAACTAAATTCAGATACAAAATTTATTCAAGAAAACTTTAGATGGTTACTGGGTTTATTACCTTTGTGTTTTGATTGAATAAACGCAGTGAGAATTTTAGACCCATCAAGATCAAGTAAAAAAAAACGGAGTCCTAAAAACAGTGAGGGGTGTTCGAGTTATTGCAATTTGGTGACAGAAAAGTCAAACGCCGGGTCATTGGAGTTAATTCTTCTTTTTCGCTGAAAGAAATACAAAAATGCAAACGAAGAAATGAATCAAGAAAAGTCAGAATGGTGGGTGAAAATGAGACTTCATTCATATATTTTTAATTTTTTCGAGAATGGCAAGGTTTTGTTAGTCAGAACTCAGAAGAGTAAACCTCAAATGAAATTCAAAAAACAAAATTAAAAATTATTGAAGAAGTTGTAGCATCTGCGAATTTTCCTTTTTCTTTTTCTGTTATCTATCCAATTTATATATTAAAGATTTTGTGGATTAAAAGCTAGGAAATTTATTTTTTGTTGATTTTGAGAAATTCATAAGTACTTCTATATCATATATTTAATTTCTATTTATAGCGTTTATCTACAAGAAGAAGAAAAAAATAATATAGTAAAAAATAAGTTACCGAGATTGCAACACAATATAATTAGTAAATAAATAGTTCGTCCAATAATTTTATAACTCAAAATTACGGTTATGGTTTGAAAGTTGAATTTTTTATCCTCCTACTTAGTAATTTTTTTTCTTTCCAAATCCCACCGTAGCAAAGTGATTTTTTGAGAGAACGAATAGTAAGAATTGAATTCTCGTTGTCGCACTTTGTATTTCCATGCGTATATGAAGATAAGAGAGAGAAAATGAGTGAAACACAAAGACATGCATAATATAAATCAACTCGACCCATTAAATTAGGACTACGTAGAGTAAGAACTTGAATTAAATATATTTTAATATTCAATGATATAATCTAGTAATCATGACAAACAAGTACTAGATTTTCCCCCAACAAAACTAGATTGTCCCAAATCTAAAACAAGATTTGGCCAAAGTTTGATCACGCAATAAATTTCTGTATCTACGAATGTGCAAAAATTAACCATTGGAGGTTGAGTTGGGTAAGTTATTTATTGCCAACAACAGTGGTCCCAAATTATTGGGCAAATCATGACAACGACTGTTTTATATGGCATTCCGCCTGATGGGCTCATGTTTTATGTACCCATAAATTTATGTGGAAATTACAAAAATTAGCACATTTAAAGATCTCATTTCATATATCACCTGTAATGTTTAATATTTCAATCATCAGATTTTTTTGTTAATTAATTAATATATTTAAAAATTAATTAATATATATTTTCCTCTCTCTCTATCTCCCCCCCCCCCCCCCCCCAAACACCCCCCCCCGTTTCTTAACATTGTGAAATGACTACCGTAGTGGAGCCACTGGAAGCCATCGGAGTGAAGCCACACGAAGTGACCTGACACCACTACTGCGCCTCATTATCTTGCCTCGTTCAAACATTTGTTTCAATTGTCAAACCTTAGCTCGATATCTGGATTCCTGTCTCGATTCATTGCATCTCTCTTTTCCTCTTGAAGGTACTATTTAATAATTCTTCTAAATTCTAATTTTTCAATTTTTTGTCATTTTTTCTTAGCTGTTATTATTATTATTTTTTTGTGTGTTTTAAAATTCATCCCAGTTCCTGAATTCATTATTTTTTCTTTAGTTTGTAGCGATGGTGATGTCGATGGTGGTGGCGGTGGGCGGGGTCGCTAGTGGTTGGCGGTGGTGCGTTGCTTTGGAGTGGTGGGATGGGGTGTGGGTGTATGTGACGATTTTATTGGTTGACTAATTGGTTAATTTGTGACCAATGTAGTGGTAGTGCTATTGGAGGTAGCGTTGAAGTGGTGGACATAAGTGTTGGTAGTGGTGGGCAAAAACCGACCCAAACCACTCGAACCGATCGACCCGACTTGAGCAGTTTAGGTCGGTTTTTTCAATGAAATGGGTTGGGTTCGAGTCATTAATTGCATTTTTCTGTCGGGTTGGGTCGGGTTACGGATTACCCGCCCCAACCCGACCCATATTAAATTAATAATATGAAGAAATCTTGAAAACTAAAAAAAGCGTATCAGATTTCTCAGGCTCTACTACAGGTAAGTTAAATCAATAGTTGTCCTCTTTCTCACATCAATAGCTATCCTCTGCTACAGGTAAGTTAAATCAATAGCATTTTTCTTCTCCCTCCCATTTCCATTTTCCCTAAAAAGAAAACCCTATTCTCCTCCAAGTTCAATCCATTACAAAGCCCAAGGGCAGCGAGTCTACACAGTACAAGAAATTCAGTCGATTCAGTTGCTCAAATCAACAGCGTCGATCCTCCGTTCAGCAAAGGGCAACGACGGCTCTTCCAACTTCCCCCTTCCAATCGTGGGTACACTTGTGTTCTGTAAAACTCTAGGTTTTTTTCCTTTTTTTAATTTAAAATATCTTGTTGGTTTTTGCGTTGTATATGTATAGACTTATGGTGAATGTGGCTGTGACCGTTTGTTGGTTAATGTTAAAGACTGCTTTTCTGTTTTTTAATGAGGGATAATGAATTAATTTTTCTTTTGACCTTTTTTGCCCCTTTATCTAATGGGATTAGTTTTAAGAAGTATAATACCAATACACAAGGAGGCCAATCAATGGCAAGAAACCCAAATGTGAGCCCTGATTATCTGGTTTTCTTGTTTGGAGTACATGATAGGTTGAATATAGAGGAAAGCTAGAAAATAATTTGAAGCTAGATTCTGGTAAATTGACGGAGTTAGTTCTTGTTTAGTAAAGCAACATTCGGAGAAAAAAAATCCTGTTCTTGTTTGGTAAAGCAAAATTCGACCAACATAGTTAAATAAATCTTGTTTGATAAAGAAACCGACCAACCCAACCCAAACCGATCGAAACTTGGTGGGTTGGGTTGGGTTTAAATACATAATTGGGTTGGGTTGGGTTGATTTTAAATCAAACCGATTATGTTGGGTTGGGTTAGGGTTGTGCAAAAAACTGACCAAACCCAACCCACGCCCACGCCCACCCCTAAGTGTTGGTGATGGTCACATATTATTTAGTTCATTGTGACTAGTGAACTGGTTAATCTGCGACCAATAAACAATACATGACCAATGAAAAAGATAAATTATAATCAAGAAATAATATGTTATCTAAAATATTAATAATTTGTGACTATCTAATAAGTTGTGACCTATAATATTTGTGATCTGTGACCTATAAAAAAAAATTTATTCGTGATCGAAAAATAAGTTGTGACTAGACCTACAAAATTTTTGAATTTGTGATCATAAAATAATTTGTAACATAAAATTTTCGATTGTTAGAAAAAAAAATAATTGACTAATTAAATTGTTAATTTGTGACCAAATTGTATATACATGTGACAAATATATTTAATTGATAAAATAAATAAATAAATAATTAATTAATTAAATCATAAATAAATTTTAGTAAAAATCTGATTTTTGAAGTTTGAAACTTATTTTCTTAATTTAAAAATATGCCATACTTAATTTCTTATAAATGAAATTTCCCTAAATTTATTTAAAGGACTCCATTGCACAAACAGTGGCCTTTAAATTTTAGATGAGGGGCTGAGGCCCTGTCACAAGGGCCTGTCCCCCTGTTTGAGCAACAACTTATTTAAATAAATAAAAAAGTGAAAAGAATATTTTTATTAGTTAATTTTTATTGTGGTTAATTAATTAGTCTTTTTTTTTTTCTATTTATGTATAGGAGTCTTACTTTGATTAAGAGTTTATTGAAATAGCTACGTTTTCTAGTGTTGGTTTAGTTTTAAAGTCTAGTAGGATTTTATTGTAGTTAGATTAGTTACGAAGATTTATTAAATAGTGGAGATTATTCTTTATCGTTATTCGTAAGCATATTTATATATGTTTTTCATCCCTGTTTGTGAAAATTCTACAAATGTACAGGATCGTTGACAGGTAATAGTTGTGAGATAGAGTTAATGTCCCGTAGGAAATAAATCTCAATTTAAGTGTATTGGTCTTGTATTGAATTCGAAGTATGTAACACAAAGAAGAGATTTAATTTGGAATTATGCTAAATTACTCCATGAATTATGTAGAAATTGAATTTGTATGAATTAGCGTACCAGATTTATAACCCCGCCCATTGTTATCTACTTTACTTCTTGATTACATAATTTAGTCTTATTTATACATTATGGACAATCGATAAAAACTATAATATATAATTTTTTTTCAAAGATAAATTAGATCTATTCTAATCACTGTCTCGATCATATTCTTAGTCTGAATGCGAATGAGTAGAACGCATTAAATTGAATGATTATTTATATAATTGCATACATGATATTTTTTTTCCTAACATCTATTGCTCGTTATTAATTTTGCTGCGTTCTAAACTTATTATGAACTTTTCAACATTACAACAAATAATTAATTATCTAATTTTTAACTATCAATTAAATAATTTTATCGGAATGTATAATGAATCAAGAAGTACAAAAATTAACTAAACTACTAATCTTGAATTAAAATAAATAAATAATAGAATTTATCTCGTCCAATACAAAAATGGATGTCACCAAGCATGATTTTATATAAATTATAAAAAGAATAATGAAAAGTCGCCTCATGGATCTCGAACGATTTCAAAAGATATTAATCTTCAATTTCTTAATATAATCGGCCTTCGATTCTTGCTAGATTTTGATCTTATTTGTGTCTTAAGAGGTTGGAGAGAGAGATCCACAATTTGTAGCCCATGTTTTTGTACATAGTTGATGAAAATTAGGTCAACATGGTGTCTGAATCGATTTTAAGTAGAGTTTGAATCAGAAAAGAAAAATAAGCATGTCTAATAAAATTTACTCATTACACATATGACATAGACTACCTCACGAGCGCTGTTGATGAATTCTGCGCTTGGGTTCTAGAAAAATGGTCAGAACATGCATGTCAGCGCGCTATCACGGGCCTACTTTCATCACACTTGAACTACTCTAACACCAACCTTAACACACCACAAGTCCCATCCCCACGAGATAATGTTTAGTCAGCCTTAAACCCCACGATAATTATTATATCAACTTCGGTATAGAAGGTAGATAGGATTTTATGAGAAAAACAACACACACAAATATGATAAAACTTCTTTGTATAAATATAAGAGAAAACTATATACAAACTCTCAAATATTTTCTCTTTACAAAGATATTACACTATCTCACATTACTCCCATTCCATGTACCATTCATCTATTCATCCCTTCATGGTATTTTACAAATGACCAAGCACTTCTATTTATAGGCAAGCTCTTGCTAGGCAAGTTTGCATCAATAGCTAGGATT